CTCCATACCCTCAGTAATTTACAGATGAAGAGTCTGGCCCAGGGCACCAATAATAATCACTACATGGTGGCAGTAACTACTATGTGCTTATAGCTTACAGTTCATAAAGAGATTTTGCATTCAACAAATATTTATTGAACTAGGATGGAAGCTAAGACCTGGGGACATAGTGGTTAGGGAGAACTTGAGTGCCCCCAGTTATCAGCATTTCCACCACTGCTCCAGGGACTCTGCAGCCTCCTCTCTAGCACTTAGCCCCTGTAAAGGAGGAAGTCCCTTTGGCGAGGGATATGAAATACTGTTTGGTCAATGACCATAGTCTGCCCTCCAGGGCCCGTGAAGATGGAGGAGACTTTGGGCAGAGTGAAGGGCAGTGCCAGGCCTGGTTCAGCTACTCCCTATCACTCCCTCTCCCAGGCTCCTCCAGCCTCACCTGGTGGACTCCACGGGGACCACAGGACTCACCTCCATGGGCAGTCTCAAAACATTTGCCCTCCTCTGGGCTGTCACATACATTGACCCAGACTTTCTTGGAGAAGGAATTCTGAAGAAGCAAAAGCAACTCAAAACCCCCACTTCCCCCAGAAGAAAAACGTGGACAAGCAGATGCAGAAGGGCAGTGGCCAAAGTCTGCGGGTTCCTGCGGGGTCCAGGGGAGGGGCGAGCCCTACAGAAAACTTGAACAGAGAGCGCTTTGATCACCCGCCAGCCTGCCAGCCCAACCTGCCAGCCCGGAAGGCAAGCCCCAGTCAGGCGGAAGGTAGCTGGCTGCGGGGAGCGGCGGCGGAGGGAGGCGCCCAGGGTCACAGACAACTCTCAGCGGGCCGAGGGCAGGGAGTGGGTGGCAGGGAAAGCGGCCCGCCCTTCGTCCTGCTCCCTTGCCCTACTCTCTGTCACCTCCGCTGGAAGGAGTGGAACCCAGACTTGCTGGTCTGAGCCATGTACAAGGCGGGGCTGCTAGGCCACTGTGCCCGGGCATGGAAGTCGGTGCCGATGGCCAGCTCCAGGATGACCCCCCGGAACCTGCTCGCTAATAAGGTGGCCCTGGTAACGGCCTCCACCGACGGGTGAGTGCTAGTGCTGGAGTTTCTGAGGCCCTGGCTGCCTGCAAACAGGCACTGGTCTTTCATCCTTTGCCTCCAGTGCCCCTGTCCTCAGACCTCACATGCGGCCAAAGTCTGGCCCTGGAAAAAAGTAGCCACGTGGTCTGCCTGAACCCCCTCTGAATCTCCTGGCCCTGGGCCCTACCTTGCCAGCCCTCGTGTCCCTGCTGCCTCTGGCACAACCGTGCCACCTCTGTGCAGCCCCATCGATCTAGTCCTCGCCGGGGTTCTGGGCTGCCCCAGTCAACCAGCTCCACCTAGCGTCGGGGAAGACCAGAAACTAGAAATGTGAGGGAACCTGGATTTCAATATCCTATCCCAGGGTCTCCAGCACTTTGAAAACGTACCAGACACTCTATTTGGGCACCGGAAAGTCTCCAGGAACCCCGCCCCCTTACCTAGATGGGACACAAGAGCTTTGTGTCAAGATTTTTGTTTAGCTCAGTACATCTGGGCCTACCTTGTCCAGCCTGTTTCTCACCCACCACTCTTGTCTATCCTGGTTCTCATTTCTAGGGGACTTTGCTAGATGCCAGCTCTCCGCAAAACTAAAATACAAATGCAGGTAAAATGCTAATGACTGACAAGTGCAGAATGTGTAACTCTTCCTCCCAAGGCAATGTTTACATTTTTGACCGGAGACCATCTTCTCACATGCACCCCAAAAAAATAACTAAGGATAGAATTTTGAGAATGTTGTAGACTAGTAAGAAAGAAACCTGGGGGCAAGGCTGTTCTGAGTGAGACCTTCAAATCACGGAAGTGGCTGCTGCACACCCAGCTCATTTCTCACCTCTCAGTCCCAACAGGGGATGAAGCCTGTCACCTGTGGTGGGAACTGTAGAAAGTGATGTAAGTTCTTGGGAACTGAGGCTGCGGTTCCAGATCATAATAAAAATAAGTAAATGAGCGCCAAAAGGCCGTGCCATCAAGCCTGTTTTACACAGAGTAGAGACACGTGGAGGTCAGATAGGGAAAGAGCCTGAATTCAAACCCGGGCAGTCTAACTTCACAGCCCATGCTGTCCACCTCTTCCGCTGCACAGGCTTTGGCAGTCTTTGTGTCTTTCTGCTCACAGGATCCGCTTTGCCATCGCGGGCATCTGGCCCAACACGGGCTCCACGTGGTTGTCAGCAGTCAGAAGCAGCAGAACTCGGCAGCCACCCTGCAGGGGGAGGGGCTCAGCGTGACGGGCACTATGTGCCATGTGGGGAAGGCAGAGGACTGGGAGCGGCTGGTGGACACGGTGAACTGCAGGGAAATGGGCAAAGAGCCAGGAGGTAGAAAAAGGAGCCAGCCTGAGCCGCCTTCCCTGCTTTCCTGGACAGCCTTGGTGAATCCAATGCAGTGCTGTTAACTAAAACATAACAGTGCATTCTGCATACCCACACCAGCCCACCGGTACATTTTTATTGTGTGCCTTTCTATTATGTCCATATACTAACGTTGGAGAATCATCCCATCCCAATCAGAGAATGTTAAAACACTCTAATGCTTCAATCCTGCATCGTCCCTTGAATACCCCAAAGAAACAACTGGTTTTGGTTCTCTAGTAATTTTCAATCTAACGGGACAGATGAGAAGGGTAAATACAATCATAAAATAGATGTTCCCACCCATGAGCTAATAAACAATCCCATATTCTTCAGCTTATAGAGTCAAGTCCCTGGGAACCTCAGGAAGCAGCCCACCATGTTTTAACCACCTCCTATGTGCCATTACCTGTGTTCAAAGCCTTACAAAGGTTATCTCTAGACCTGACAACAACCCAAGCAAGGCAAGGACTATTCTCTCAGTCTGCAGAGACTGGCTCAGACAGCTGGAGCTACTTCCCAAGGTCCCACAGCCAGTAAGGAAAGAGCCGTGATTCAACCCAGACCTCCCAAGCTCCCTTCCTTTATTGGCTGCCTACAGACTACCAGGTACTGGACTTTAGTCTCAAAGAAAGTATATAAGTCAGTGTCACAGTTAGTAGTGGACACCAGCCTTTCAGCTGCTGAAGGAAATATGAACCATCCAGCAAAGGAAGCTCCTCTTCCCTTGAGGCTCAGGACACACTTTATTCCCCAGAGTGGAAGGGAGAATCTACCCAAAAATGGATAGTACAGGATTGTGCTAACAGATTGGAAGGTTGGCAGAAATAATTTGCATAATCTTAGAAGAGGGGGATCTCAAGCAATAGTAGATAGTAGTGTGGTAGACAGTATAGGGTAATTCCGTTTTTAAGGAACTCTCTGGCAAATGCTCAAATATGCATTGGAAAGAGCCAAATGTGAGTCCTAGAAAGTCACCTTGCCTGGCCTAGGCTGGTGGACAGAGCCCAAGATTGGGGACTTGATCCTGATGGTGGAAGGAGCCATTTGGGAGTCTGGGTCAATCAGTGACTAACCATATCACATGTAAGTAGCAATGTAATGTGAAAATCCTGGTGGAAATACATCCTGTGGCCCCCACCAGGTTCACTTAACAGGGCCTACAGGCCTGGCCCAGAAGTGGTACTTGAGCTAAACCTTTAGGAATGGATGGGAATGTTCAGATGGAATAGAGATGAGG